CAATGAATGTTACCAGTTAGCAACATATCATTGATATGCAGAAGAAACAGCGTTGGTGATAGCACACAGCCTTGTGGAACACCAGCGTTAATAGGCTTGTAGTCAGAACATGCACCGTCTACAACGACCTTGATGCTCCGATCTGCAAGAAAGCTGGTGATCCAATTGCACAATTTCTCGGGAAGCCCATAGGAAGGCAGCTTCGAAAGAAGCGCTTTGTGCCAAACCCGATCAAAGGCCTTCGCAATGTCCAGACTAACGGCCAACGCCTCCCCCTTGGACTCTACTGCCTTCGCCCATCTATGGGTCAGGTAGACCAGAAGATCACCAGCTGATCGACCCCGACGAAAACCGTATTGGCGGTCACTAATCAGCTGGTGATCCTCAAGGTACCGGATGAGCTGGCAGTTAATAATGGATTCCATTATTTTGGAGAACAAGGAGGTGATCGCGATAGGCCTATAGTTGGACGGGTCTGAGCGGTCGCCTTTTTTAGGGATCGGGTTGACAAAAGCTGTCTTCCATGAATTCGGGACTACGCCTTGGGAGTAGGAGTACCGGAAAAGACGCGTTAGGACCGGTGCCAACTCCGGAGCACACGTCCTCAGCACAATTGGGGGGATTCCGTCAGGCCCACTCGACTTCTGGATGTCCAGGGAGAGAAGTGCTTTGCGAACTGAGCGCTGTGAGAATAGCACATCCGGCATGGAGCACTCACACCGCGGGATGGTCGGCGGTATTTTCCCCCCGTCATCAAGAGTCGAGTTGGACGCAAAAAGGGAGCCTAAAAGGTCGGCTTTGTCTTTTGCGTCTTGGGCCAGTGAGTCGTCCTCCCTGTGCAGAGATGGTAGTGATGGCTTACAGAAATTCCCTTGGACAGCCTTGGCGAGAGACCAGAATGCACGGGTTCCCGAAGGAAGGCGAACAAGTTTCTCGCCAATTCTGCCTATGTGCTCTGACTTTGCCTTGGCAATAACTCTTTTGAAGGACCTGGAGGCGAAGTTATACTTCTTTTTAAGTGTGCTGGTGTTTACATCCCGAGTCACCGAAGCCGCAGCCCAGGCTTGATAACACTCCTGCTTACTGCGCAATGCAGTCTTACAGGAGCGACCAAACCAAGGCTGAGATCTGCCTCCGATGGGTACCACAGATGATGGAATAAATAGTTCCATTCCCTGTAGCACCACATCAGTGACAGAGTCAGCAACAGCACTGGGATCATCCGGCGAGAAGCAAACCCGCCCCCATGGGTAGGATGCAAAGAAAGACCGCATTCCGTCCCAATCCGCCGACCTGTAATGCCAAACACGGCGGCAACCTGCAGAACGCAACCGCGAAGGGAGCGTGAGTGGCACCATACTCCGGATCAGACAATGGTCCGAAGAGCCGAGAGGGGCATCGACGGAAACCTGATATCCGTCCGGATGAGAGGTCAGCAGAAGGTCCAACAGGGAAGGTGTATGATCCTCCACATCTGGAATCCGCGTAGGCGAAGTAACCAGTTGTGTCAGACCATATGCCAAGGCAAAGTCATAAACAGATCTCCCCGCATGATCGGTTAAACGTGAACCGAGCCATTCGGCATGGTGGGCGTTAAAATCGCCAAGGATCACGATCTCTGCGGATGGGACCTGTTGTAGCAAGGAATCTGTAGCCATTTGGACGTGGTCGATGAGTCGGTCTGTTTCGGCATTACCGCTATGGGACCTATAGAGGCACCCGTAGACGCGCGGATGGTCGTCGCTGTCTACGCGTAGCCAAAGGATGGACAGGTCCGAACCTTCAAGACTGCCGAGGCGTCGAGAACAGATGTCCTCTCTAACATACACGCAAACTCCAGCCCGAGGCACAAAGGAGTGCTCCAATTTGTACCCCGGGTAGGAGAGATACGAAATATCAGTCGGAGAGGAAACCTGCGTCTCGGTCAAAAAGAGCAAGGCCGGCTTCGCCGTCTCGAGATGGTAGTGGACGGCGTTTAGGTTAGAGTGAAGTCCCCTGATGTTGCAGAAATTCACGGATAGCGTGGCAGGGGTCGCCTTGGTATTGTTGCTCAGCTTGCCCCGAGCAGTTTTGTTTTTGAGCGGAATTTTGCCCCCCCCAGAATACGCGGGGCAGCCTGAGCACCCACGCTCAGGATTGGAATAACATGGTCGTGGATGCTCAGCGAGGGATTCTCCAGGGGTACTGGTACCCTCCTGGGGTAGTCTATTGTCTAATTCCGCTACCATGTTGATGGGGGGGGGGGAATTGGGCCTCCGGCCACCTGCACTCACCAGACGAAACGCAGAAGCAGAGCCTCTACTTCACGCCGGTATTCTGTGAGGTCGTGGTACCAACCCGGCTCGAGCCGGCCCATACGTGCAACAGCAAAAAACTGCTGCAGGGCTCTACCACCGTTAATTGATTAATAAAATATTATAAAAGTAAAGAAATAAATCAAAATTAAACAAAAGTTGACCTTGACAAACAAATAATGGAGATATACGGGAACGTCTATCACTGGTATACCATATAGTCCTCGAGTCTGTTTCCATGATTGGATGAAAAAATCGGAAGTATCGGGTACTAGGGAATAATACCTTCAGTACAAGTGAGATGTGAACAGGTTTGCTCATATTAGTACTGTTGGGGACCAGAGAAGTCTTAAATTTGTTACCCTTGATAATGGTACATAGAGGTCACATCCTTCATTGGATCATAGTGTGAACTTAGTTTTCCTCCGTGACAATTGTTGGAGTCCTTTTAAAATGACTTAAACGTAGACCTCAAGGTTGTGCGCACAACCCAAGGTACAGTTTTACCTTGATATAGTATAATAAAAAAAAGTTTATGTATCAATAAAATGGAATGAATGTTATGAAAAAGTAATATAATACCCAAGTATTATATATTAAGCCCATATTTATAAAGTACCCGTGTGATAAATATCACGAAATAAAATATAAATGAAGTGAATTAATACTCGGATTCCCGGTATCTAATAAATAAATAAACATATAAGGGAAGAGAATACTCAAAGAAATAAAGCTAGCTAAAGGTCAAAATATTAAGAAAGAAAAGAAAGTACGTACAAGAATTATGAAATAAATAAATAAGGCCTGACAACCGAAAACAAAGGAAATGAGATTAGTGTTAACATGAAAAGAACTAACATGCAAGGACATGAGAATAATTAAAATGAGGTAATAAGGGGATCCCCGACCAAACCTAAAAGTGAGATATGTAGTTGTTTTGCATTTCTGTATTAGAGCTATTAATGCTACCCAAAATCCTACTCAAAAGTTACACATGTACCGAGTAACTATATTATCGATCCACATAACCACACGTAAACAAAAAATATTAATAAAAAATAATAAGCACATTTTCACGTACGTACTTAATTATTTTACCATATTTTATATGAATTTACAAGATTTTTTCATATTTCAATTGATTTATATTTATAATAACCATTAGTTTTAAATTAAAAAAAAGTGTTTATTTATGTAAAATTTGTACAATTTTAAACTAAAATTCTGTAATCCAAAGTGAATTAATTTGCTATTTATTATAAGTTTTTTTTTTATTTTGTACAATGAAACCAAAAATTATATGATTATATACTTAAAAAAAACTTTTCTTTTCTAATGTTAATAACATTTTATGAACATACAACATATATTTTCTAATACAGACTTATATATGTGTAATAGCCTATCTTTTTTACAAATTTGTGTTTCAAATAAGATAAACATGTTCCTTAGAAGTCATGAAATCTTAAAAAAAAGTAATATGTAATACGTTGCCGACTATTAATGATAAAAATTACACATATTACTTGATAATGTATTACAACAATGCAATGTAATCTTAACTATGTAAATGAAAACGTGTTTAATACTATAAATTTTAGATATTTTTAAGTGTATTTATAATAAAACATTTTGTAAGTTATGTTGGAATTAGGTATCATCATACGATGTAATCGCAAACTTTCCCATAAACGTACTTTGGAATTGAAAACAAAAGTGTCACAAATCGCTGACGCGACTGGGATTGCAATTTGTATTTTAATCTGGTAGTTATTATGATAATGAAAATGATTACATTGCCTAACATAGACTCCTTTGTTATGTGTATCTTAAAATGAAATGTAATATTGTCGGTTTTATATTTATTGAACCTTCAAATCATATGTTTGTATCTTTATAAGGCATTATTTTTTGAAAAAAAAAGTAAAGTATTAATATCTAAATGTGAATAAATATATAAAGGAATAATATTTAATGTGAATGTCTACATAAATGACTTCATAAGTAACTGAATAATTCAGTATCAAAGTGTGTTACAGTGATGTGTCGACCAAAATAATATACGTTCGCGAATGTACACCTGATTTTGTCAAACATTATGCATCAACAATGCAACAATGCAAAATAAACATACATAATGTGATTACGGAATTATTATGTACATAGGGGGTTTGGCCAGTCACCCTATCCAAGCCAAGACAAATATTATATATACATAATTATAAGATAATACTTTATTTAACATGAACTTTTTACTATATAAAAAATATGTTATTTTTTATATATTTTTTTTTCGGTATTTTTCATATAATACTTCCGTTCACCACAAAACTAAGTATACCCCATTCGAGTTAGTTTGTGGCAAAAAATGTAATTTACCCAGTAATTTAACTAAAACCGTAGAACCCCTATATAATTACGAAGATTATCCGTTAGATTATCCATTATTTATTTGTGTTAGTTTCTATAGTGTACATTAATACTGACATAAGAAATTGAATAGTGTTACATAAACTGTGAGTAATAAAACATAAACATTGCTAAAATTTCTACAAGTGTTTAGGCGTTTGTATTTTTGCGAAAGCTGTGTGTCATTGACGGGGTCAACGAACTGTCACGGACATTGAACTCTCGGGCTGAACGCATAGGCTTCCCGTTGCAATTTTGCTTGTTGCTTATTAATCAATTTTAAAACAGTTAATCATAATGGCTTTGTTGTACGCGTGCTGTCGTGTTGCTGTAGTAAATACTGATGTTCCTATGATTTGTATTACTTGTAGTGGCTACTATCATCTGCAATGTGTGTCGGCATCATCCAGAAAAGATCCAACACTTCGAAATGGGTCAGATTGGACCTGCCCAGCGTGTTTGTCAAAGCAACCTAAAACTGTTAAAAATGATAGTACACCTGTCCGCATGTCAGCGCGCAAGCAATGCGACACCGAGAGTGTTAATGTTACATTGCGAAACAAAAATTCGAAGAATAAGTCTCCCACTACTCCGTCAGTGTCAGTGATAGAAAAATCTACAGACTCTTCTTGCGACCTACGGGGTTTTATAAGACAAGAGATTTCAGAGCTAAAAAGGGATCTTGAATTTAGTTTCAAAAACTTTATAAACTCAGAGCTTAAGATCATTAAGGACGAGGTACAGGAAATAAAAATGTCCATAGCTTTCATAAATAATAAGTATGATGAGATGAAAGAAAGATTTGAAATATACGATAAATGCCTAGTGTCAGTAAACAGCTTGAGTAATGAAATAGGTGTAATAAAGTCTTCATTGGCAAAGTTGGAGCATGAAAGTAATATTAGAGACCAATGGGCGCGGCGTTCCAATATCGAAATTTGTGGCATTCCCGAGAAGAAGAATGAAAATCTCTTCGACATTATTGAGAAAATATCGAAGCACGTAAATTTTTCTTTTAAAAAATCAGATATTGATTTTTTATCCCGCGTTGCACCATCTACCAAGGACCCTAAAAAACCTAAACCAATTATTGTGCGGTTTTTATCGAGGTATAATAAAGATGACTTTTTGTGTAAAACAAAGAAACTTAAAAGCTTGAAAGCGAGTGATCTTGATTTTTCTGGTACTGAATCCTTGGTATTTTTCAATGACCACTTGACCAGTTTAAATAAATCTTTGTTGCGCCAGGTGAAAATTAAGGCTAAAGATAATAACTATAGATTTGTATCGGTTAAAAACTGTAGTATAATGGTTAGAAAATCTGAGTCTAGTCCTACTTTTCACATAAATAATATGGCGGATTTATTAAAAATAAAATAGGAATTATTGTTATTAGTTATTATTTTAATTACATTATGGCTTATGATGTGTTATTTGTATCACTTTAGGTAGTTCTATATTTTGTTTTAAAAGTTATGTATGATAAACTTATTTTTTTGGGGCACGTGACCTTGACACATTCGGTGATAGTTTTAATTTTATATTATTTAGTTTATACAATTACTATAACATTTGAATATATTTTTGTTAATACACTTCGTTCTAAACTATGTATGACATATATACATTTACATCGGTATACAATTCGGTTCTAATTTAAAAATTTATTATCAAAACGTTCGGGGTCTACGGACTAAGACTGACTTGCTTTTCAGAAACGTCTTATGTCATAAGTATGATATAATCTGTTTCACTGCAACTTGGTTACATTCGGGTATATTCGACTTAGAACTATTTGATGCACGGTATTACGTATATAGAAGCGATCGTAACTATACAATCAGAGGTGATACAATGGGTGGAGGAGTTCTGATTGCAATGAGTCGTAAGCTACAAGTTACCAACGTTGAATGCATCCCGTCAACAAATTCAGCTGCTGACGTAATTCGTGTTTCTATTTCATCCGAACGACATACACGTTGCAACATATACTGTTGTTATTTCCCACAATGTCGAATTCACAAAGATGTGTTATCAAACTTTTACGAACATATCTCTGATGAAGTTCTCTCTTACCCTGATGACTACTTCATTATATTAGGAGATTTTAACATACCTAACGCTTTCTGGTCAAAGAATTGTAATGCTGATGTGACCTTACATGGAGACTTCATCGGATACAGTTAATGAACTTGCTAATTTTCTTTCTTTTAATAATTTTAATCAGTATAATATATTTAACAATTTTAATAATCGTATTTTGGATCTCTTAATAACCAATATTAATTGCAAAGTCAGTTCGGTAACTGCTCCAATAGTTTCAGAGGATTCACACCATCCAGCTTTTGAGTTTACGATTTTAAAATCACATGAGAAACTGCTCAAGACTCGGGCTCACACAGTCAAGTTGTATAGAGATGCTGATTATAAGGCAATAAATATAAATCTTTCGCAAATAGACTGGGAATCTAATTTGAGTGACGGTAATATTGATGCCTCTGTGTCAAATTTTTATAAAATTTTGAATGATATAATCGAAAAACACGTACCTACTAAAACTATTAAATTTAACACTAAGTACCCGATATGGTATAACTGGGCATTGATTAAAACTATAAATGAAAAATTAAAATTTCATCGCAAGTGGAAGGTTTATAAACAGGATAGTGATTACAATTCTTTTGCCGTACTAAGAGAGAGACAAAAGTTAATGGAGAACGATTGTTATAACAAATTTATCAATAATGCTGAATATAGAATTGGTATTAATAGTAAATTCTTTTGGTCGTTCGTAAAATCAAAACGTAAATGTAAAGATCTTCCAGACATAATGTTTATAGATGATTATACGACTTCGGATCCTGTGTTAATATGCGATTTATTTAATACTCATTTTAGCTCAGCTTTTAGTGTTAATAGTCCAAATCATAATACTCATATTTCTGCCTCGGCTCAGTCGATCAGTATAAATTCGATCACATTTACAGTCCGTCAGGTTTCTATGTATTTAAAACGCTTGGATATCAGTAAGGGACCAGGAACTGATGGCATCCCACCCTTGTTTTTACAAAGATGTTACCGTCAATTGGCTAAACCACTAGCAATTTTGTTCAGAACTTCTATGAAGTTGGGCGAAATGTCTTTACAATGGAAAAAATCATTCGTAACTCCCATATTTAAAAGTGGTAATAAGCACGATATTTCAAATTACCGTCCTATTTCAAAATTAAGCTCGATTCCAAAACTATTTGAGAAAATTATTTATGACACACTCTCTCAAATAATTCGACCAATTATAATTCCTGAACAACATGGTTTTATAAGTCGAAAGTCTACAGAAAGTAATCTCTGCGAATTTCTTGATCATCTTTATACTGCTATGGACAGCGGACTGCAGGTAGATGCAGTGTACACCGATTATACAAAAGCATTTGACAAAATTTCACATGATATTTTGATACATAAATTAGATCAAATCGGTGTACATGGTGATTTACTTCGATGGATATCCTCTTATCTTATAAATCGTAGTCAGGCGGTTGCAATAAAGGGATACTGTTCATAATTTCTCCCAGTTTCATCAGGTGTTCCTCAAGGTTCTCATCTTGGTCCACTACTGTTTATAATATTTATAAACGATGTTATATCCTGCTTCCGTAATTCCAAAATTCTCCTTTTTGCAGATGATATGAAAATTTTTAGGTCTATTAAAACTATAGAGGACTGCCATCTACTTCAAGAAGATCTATGTAGGCTTAGTGCATATTGTCAAGTAAATGATCTTTGCTTGAACATTAAGAAATGTAACATTATCTCATTTACCAGGAAAAAGAATCCTATCCTCTTTGATTATAAGCTTGATGATAATTTACTAATGAGAGTTAATGAACTGCGTGATCTTGGTGTTCAGTTGGATAGTAAGTTGTTACTGAGATCACATATTAATATCACAACTAAAAGAGCTTATAAAATGCTAGGTTTCGTTATGCGTATCTCAAAAGATTTTAAAAAGTCTTCAACAGTTATCTTACTATTTAACACTCTGGTGCGGTCTATTCTTGAGTATTGTTCTTCATGTTGGAATCCTCAATACAAAGTTTATATTAAAATGATTGAAACAATCTACAATAAGTTTCTGCGTCACTTAAAGCGATATAATTCTTCTGTAGACTCCATTATTGATAATTTAGGCAGCAATACCCTCGAGAAACGCCGTGATATAAGAGATCAAATGTTGTTGTACAAATTGCTTCATAATATCATCGACTTTCCCCTACTTTTAGGCAAAGTGAATCTTGCGTGTCACAGGTTAGGTGCACGAAATAAACCTCTTTTTGCATTACCTAAAGTTAAAACAAGGTATGCCTCAAATAATTTTGTATCTCGTACATGCAAAAAGTTTAACTTAAAATATTTTAAATTAGATATATTTCACCTTGAATATGATAGTTACAAAGAAAATATTGTAAAACTTAATATATAATTGGTAGTTTCACTTTGAGTTGTATATATGTATAATGTTACTTTTAACTACTTACTACTTAATGTTTTTAATTTATGAATACCATTTAGCTAGTTTTATTCTTTTATATTTTAATTTTATACAACATAATATTGTGGTGGCAAGCTTTTATTATGTATTAGATATCTGTGGAAACTTCATTGGTTCTTAGGATTACTTTTATATGTTTTATTATGTAATTTATTATTGTACTGTATGTTTCCCTTAAAAAGCAAATAAATAAATAAAAAATAAAAAAATAAACATAAACGTAACACCGTATTTTTGGTAGTTACAATATTTCTTATAAGTTAATAATATTTATAAAAATATTTAAAATATATAAAAGCGCTCTAGAATTATCGAATCCGTAACATAAATAATTAATTATTTTTAATCCTATCAAATGTATCAGTCAAAAATTAGAATTATTGAATTGAACTTATACACATAAATGACTTGTAGGTTCATTGGCTACACTAATGTATATTAAGAAATAACAACGTCTGTTTTTATTTCTTATTTATATATTTACATAAGTAATTTATAAATATCTGTATCAAAAATTATACAATAAAATATAAAAAAGCGCCCTTATATGATTAAATAATAATCTATAGGATGAAAACCATAGAGATTTATATATTTGCATGACTTTGATGAAAACCTGAAAGTTAGATCATTTTAATTAGTACGAACATTTATTTTAACTTCTGACTTAATTACTAACTTTAAAAGCTACAGAATTGACTAACAGTAGGAAAATTAAATCCTAAGATAAACACATGATTCACTAACATTATTATAGCTTTTACTAATTTATAGCAAATATTTCTAAATTATACTTATTATATGTTTTATAAACACCACCTTATTACATACTGTCAAATTTGTTGGCTACTAAATATTTACATTTACTACGTGGTACAACCATGTTTGATGAGAATCGTCTTATTTCTAAGCAATATATATATACTAGCTTTTTACCCGCGGCTTCGCTCGCGTGGCAAAATTAGCGAAATTCGATCACTTTTAGAGTCACCTCGGTGTCTGTGTCTCTATGTCTGTCAAAGATTTTTTTTTAATTATAAAAGACTATTAGACGTAGATTAGGTGTTTGGCATAGATAGGTATAATATGCCACAGGAACACGTGAATATATGTCTAGAAACACATACTATTTTTATATCGGGCGTGTCTTCCGATGTATCCATAAGAAAGGTAAATTATATCGTAATCAACATTTATTATTATCTATTATTTACAATTTACTCTTTATATTCATTCATAATTAAAATTAATTTAGTTTTAACAAAATAATGATGAGTTTCACGGTCTTCTATCAATTTACGGCATAATGTTTATTTGAGATATTTTATTCATATCTATCATTGGTCCTATTTTATATTTTGATTGACACCATAAATAAGATGTAAATATTTTTTTTACGTTCGAGTTGACTTCAAAATTTAGTATACAGTATACTACACATGGAATAAAACTAATGTTACGGATTTTATCACGTCTAATTTTAACTGTTTTACGTTAGGTTTTTTTACGCATCTTTGGATGAAAGTTCCATAAAAACCCGCGTAAAAGAACGTAGTTGATGTGAAACACTGTCGCTCCGGGAAGTCTAAAGTATGTCAACATGTTTAGTATCGTCCCAACCATTATATCGGATCTGATATACAAATCCTTGTAATAGAATACCGATTCCTAACAATGATGATTCGCGAGGCTATTGAAATTTAAAAAAAACACACATGCTAATTTTAATAGGGATAAGATTTGCTAAGGGCGCCATAGTTAATAAAATAAAATTCAAACCCAAGCATACTCCTGCATTTATTCTATTACTATTATATTCTATTCTATT